ACTCCATTTATTCTACAATAATGCGAGACAAACACACAATAAATGCTAATTTACATTATCCAAACTCAGTGAATTCACTTTACGCTCATAAGACAGTTGTTCTCTATTTGTGGTGGAGTAGTCATTTCAAGGTATAAAAAGCAGAATTTGTATCGCATGAGAACCAACGAACACCGCTCCTACCTCTATTACCCAACATGAACATAGAATATTTCGTACAGTATAGAAGATTTAAAGGTCATTTTCCTTTCAATTATGCTACATGTACATTTTCTGTGACATTAAGTTTGACATTCAATAAAGTGACAACAGTCATGATCTTTAATTTTAAACATACTCCATCAATTCATTGGTCAGATTTCAATCATATAAGAGGATGTCATCATTCATGTGAACAAGAAATGTACATCTAGCATTATTGTTTTCCTTTTAGGACTAGCTTTTAATAACAAAATTATAAACTTTAAAAGAATTATGAAACTTACAAGAAAAAATGTGCCTATCGATTAAAAGTTTTTTTTCCCTTTCTTACTTCTACTGGCTGCATACTACATGACCCATGCGTATTCATACATATTAACTCATACATAATATGTTGTTGAATATTGTGACCCAATTCTATTGAAAAGTGATGTTTTGGTTGAAGAATGTACTAAACAGGCCAGAAAGTGAAATTTAACCCGAAACTTAGCTCCTGGACGCACGAGCTGTCACCTGTCTTGCGCTTGCTTCCCGCAAAGCTGTCGTTCAAGCGATGTATGTATCCTAGCAAATATTATTTCCTTATTTTTTGGCTCAATTTTTATCATCTTTCCACTATAACATATTCGTTTGGGTCAAATATATAGTCCACGAATTATATGACTTTTTATATGACTTTGTATGAGTTAGAATCAAGTTAGAAACACAATGTTTTATATTCTTTCTCTATATTAATAAAATTTTCATTTCTCTGTCAATTGTTCTTATAGTGTGATTGATACTTCATATTTTGTCATAACGTAGTCTTCGTTATTCTCTAACAAGTGGTGTTAGCGCTCGTAACTACTTGGTTAGATTTGTTAACAAGTGGTATCAAATCTTAATGTTTGATGTGTTCGAGGTTTGTTCTTGACGACAACTATGACGTACAATATTTGCTTCTGGATTGTAGCACCGAATTTTCGTTGTGGCAATGAAGAAGCGAACAATGCTTTGCTCGAATGGATTTCAATGATGCATTATTGGGATTTGATAAGATGCCTACAATGGACACCTGAGGAGAAACAACGTAGGTGTCAAAAGGTCCTATCACAAATTCATTTTCATCTTTCGAATCATATTTTTCAGGTCGTTTTGAAGAAGAAAATCGCAGCTG